TTTGAGAAATAATAAAAGAAATAAAATAAATAACATACATTAAAAAAATAAAATAAAATAAAGCAGTAGCAAACAAAGAGACTAGGATTTGTGCCGCACGTGCAGTGAGTTGTGCAGCACGTGCGTAATTTTTTTTAAACCCAATTACAACCTAAAAAACCTAAGTGATTCGTGATTAGAATAAGATTTAATTGTACCAATTCCCAAATGATTAAAACAAACAATCTAAATCATCTAGCACATACGAAAGTGATTTAGGTTGTCGCTTCAAAAATAATACATCGACACAAATGATTTTTACATGAAAAAATCACAATTGGAGCACTCCAATTGTGATTAAAAAATCACAGGCGAAACGCCATAAATCAATCCACTATGAAAGTAAGAAAGAATATAAGATTTACCAAAACAAATTATCCAAACGCAATCAATTTGTCTTTAACAATCTGTATCTCTTTCACCACCGCCTTCGTCTCGAAATTGATCAGCTTGATGTTGAATCCACAAAATCCATGTCGAACCAACAACTGTGCACAACTTCGAACTCCTTTGAATTCTCTACGCTTAAATCTTTGGATTCCACTGAAGAAGAAAAACACTCTTGAAGATGAACAATCAAACTCTTTGATGTGTGCTAATGAGTTGAACACTCAATCAAACATCAAAGAAACCTAGCAAAATAGCCCCAGAAGAAAACCCTAAAACCCATAAAGAAGATTTGGAAGCTGACCCTAGATGTGGAGTAACCTGCAATTTTATAGTTGTTGAAATTACGATGTCCGCTCAAGCGCAGGAATGGACGCTCGAGCGGGGACACTAAAACACGTGTTTCAAACCAGGATTCACGCTCAAGTGCAGGAACATACGCTTGAGCGTAAAATCACAGCTCACAGTATTTTTGCAGACTAGCCAAAGTACAGGAAAGGCAGAAACTTCGCTTGAGCAGAAAGACCAAAAACAGAGAAAACATTACAACTAGATTAACCCAAGCATGTTCGCAGAATTGACAATAAGTAGGGTCCTAACAATCTCCCCCTTTGTCAATTCCCAGACAAAACTTTTCTAACAATGTTTCCTAACAAACACATGCACTAGACAACTAACACAAATAAAAGCCTCAACCAAACAAAAAACAAAAACTGCAAAATCACACAGGCCGATTTGATTAAAGAACACTTCGAACCCTTGTGAACAAATCACCTGTGGAAAATATCAAAATACCACACCAACCAAAACTGTGGAACGAAATAAGATAACATGGATAAATAGAGAGGAATAAGCAACATATCCACATATATATGTATAACCAAATCCTATCTATGCCAAAAAAAATCAACATATGCCAATATTCATGTACATGCCCACAAAGCCCAACCATATAATCCCCCAAAACTACTCCCTTTTTTTGTCCAGGAAACAAGTACAAAAAAATAACAAAACAAAAAAAATAAAACACAGAAGAAAAACAACTGAAAAACAATAGAAAAGAAGCTGTGCATAGAAAAATACACTGTCCAAAACACTGTCTAGAGAGAGAGAGAAACAATTATCACTGAGCCGATAGTGGTGGAGACTGCTGTAGTTGAAGCATAGTCAAGATCTGAGCAATATGATGGGAAAACTGAGTAATAGTCTCCTCAATGCAGCTAGAAGAGGCCTCCAAAGTAGTTAGCTAGGCATCGGTGTTGGTCTCAAGATCAGCAAGCCGAGCTTCAAAGATATCCATCCGGCCTTCCAAGCGATCAAAACGAGAAGCCATGGCATGCTCAAACTGACGTAACTGGCTTCTGAGAGAACGAGCTGGAGGAAGTTGCTCCCTTTTACCTGTAGCCTCACCTACAGCAGCAGCATCATACTCTGCCTTCTTGGCCAGAGGATTATCACTTGGACCAAAAACACCCACCCCAGAAAAACCCCCCTTGGCATGAGACTAACTCTGGGAGATGGTCTTTTTCCTGAATGAGCGGGTAGGAAAGGCAAAGTCATCATCGTCAAAAGAAGGAACCTCAAATTTGGTGAGAAAACAGTTAATAAGGTAACTGTAAGGAAGACCTAAGTTATTTCGCTCAAAAGCGGCTAACATTTTTTGAATAATGAGGGTGGCAAGATTAATAGAATGGTGGTGATCAATGCAAAAGAGAACAAAACCTTGTTCTTGATTGATTTCGAAGCTATGAGTGGTGACTATAATGTTGGCATAGACAATGAGGTTGAGTAAATGGAACCGGTGAAAAAGCTCATGTTGTTTTTATCAAGGTGCCCTTGAACCAAGTACGGGGTGTGCCATACAATGCAGTGGCCATCTCGTCAAACTCACAGGTGGGGCGGACAGTGAATGGATAATGATACGGAAAGACCTCGCCTATGCCTAAAAGCTCACAGATAAGATCAGGGGTAATGGTAATGGACTTAGACCTAACCCAGGTCTTGAAGGAAGGGCCTATATCATCAATACCGTCAATGTTACAATAAAACTCCCGAACCCAATCAAGGTTTTGATGACTCGAGAAAGAAATAACCAAGTCACCCCCCAATGGATCAAACAATGGGCGAATGGGAATGGACTCAAAGGTGTTAGGCTGTAAATTATGCTCTAAATGAACTGTCCTAGAGGGGTAAGACTCTCTAAATGACTTGGCCTTTTCTGCGGAGGGGAACTGGTCGGTGTTATAAGAGGGGCGAGTGACAGTGGACTTCCGACGTTTGACGGAGGACGTGGCTAAACCAAAGGACAACCAAATTACAACCACAACCCCCCAAACCCAACAATAACCAAACCATTAGTCACAAAAAAAAAAAAAAAAAAAAAAAAAAAAAAAAAACAAACAAACAAACAAACAAAACCAAACAAACAAACAAACAAGATTAGTAACCAAAAAACATTAGTGACTAAGGACAAATGACAAATATCCAGTAGATTATAATCCATTAGTGGCAAAACTTAGCAGAAACATAACCAATGAGTAACATTAGATTAGAACAAATACAGATGAAAAACAAATAGACCCAAACCAATGATAGACTCAAGGCCACAACAAGCAGTTGCCAAAACATAACAAAGTACTAAAACTGTTTAGATAATTATTTTTATGTATTTTTATTTGTAATGTTCAGGTAAATGGAGGTGGACGATAAAAGAATTGGCGTTGTTGAAGGTGCTTCAGCAATTGATTTTATTTTCTCAGTTGAGGTTGAGATACAAACAAAAGAGTATTAAGGTTGATAAAATATTGATAAAATATTCCCCCATTGTGCACCCAATGCTAATGGGTTGGTCAGAGTAAATGTGTAAGACATGAGGTTAGATGGTAATGACAGTTTGTAGGCATACTTTGTTTTTCTCGTGGATTGCTAGTGCAAATTAGTGTATTATGGGAATGGTTATTGTTCAATTAATGACAATCCACAGGCATAGTCCGTGTCAAAATCGGAATAGCCTTGGTTGGAGCACAATGCCAAACATTAACATTATCATTAGTATATTTTTTAGATAACATAATAGATGGGGCCCTCATCTGCGCATCTTCTAGCATGTCACTCGTAGAATACTTCAAATACCCCTTCATTTTACAATACGTAATCCCCGTTTTAATATTAGAATTTTCAAGACGATACTTCACCATCCATAGCATCTGTTTGTCGTTAATTGAACAATAACCATTCCCATAATACACTAATTCGTACTGGCAATCCACGGGAAAAGCAAAGTATGTCTGCAAACTGTCATTACCATCTAACCTCCTGTCATATACATTTACTCTGACAAACCCACTAGCATTGGGTGCGCAAAGGAGGGAATATTTTATCAACCTTAATACTCTTTTGTTTGTATCCCAACCTCAACTGAGAACATAAATTAGGCAAAACAAGTTCAATACAACTAAAATCACTTACTGAAACACTTTCAACAATAACAGTTCTTATATCGTCCACCTCCATTCACCTGAAAATTACAAATAAAAATACATAAAAACAATTATCTAAACAATTTTAAAGTATATTTGACTCCTTAACGTAATTTTGCATTCTTTTCCACTAACAGTAGCAGCCACTAAATATATGACACCCTTCTGAATACTTCCAACATTTCCCAACAGTGTACCTTTGTAGTCAATCCAAACATCAATTGGGAAGAACTGGTCCATAACTTCTATCCCGTGACAAACGTATTCTCACTACAACAAAACTGACTTTTTACGGCACCACATCAACGGCATACAATAAATGCACGCCGTAGTTTCTCACTTTTAAGACTTGTTTTTTTTGCACATCGTAAATACTTTGCCAACCACAGTGTGTCTATTGCGTAGACCGTGAATGATAATAATGATGATTTTTTACGGCTTGCAATGCACGTCGTAAAGAATAAAACTTTCTACGACGTCCATATGGCTTGCCGTTAATACATCAATTATACACAACGCACATACGCCAGCCGTGGAAAGTGAATACTTTTCACGATGCACACAACGCCCGCCGTTAAAAAGTATTTCCTTTTTATGACGCACACAACGCCTGCCGTTAAAAGTATTACAATTTTTACAACAGAAAATATATGTCGTAAATTGTATGATCAAAAACAAAGAAGCACCAAAATGAAATTTTTGGCGCCAATTCACCCAAAAAATTGAAAAAAAAATATTTAGGAAAAGAAAATATACATCAACTGTTTAGGTTTCTAGTAGATTCTAATCATCAGACACTGGTTCGAAGGGCATCCATCGCCGGTACAACTCTATTTAACAGCGTCGGGCACATGGAGGGAGATAAGGAACGGTATACACTCATACTCTTCTATTCTCTTCTCTCTCTCTCTCTCTCATTCTCTCTCAGATTTGCCCTAAACATATGTCATTTGGGGCATCTCTCTTTCTCTCTCTCAGATTTGCGAACGAGATTGAGTCGGGCCGAGTCGAGTTGCAGAGTTACAATGACGAGTCGTCGCTTGGGTGGTGTGTGTGTATGTATATGTATCTATGTGTGTATATTAAATATATAGACTCACACAATGATCATTCATTCAAGGTTTTGACGAACTATAAAATGAAAATGAAAATGAAGTTGAAGTTGAAATTGAAATTGATGAATGGGCAACGAAGAAACAGGGTTTCAGACTAGTAATTGTTACGGAGTCACTATAACATCACAAAATTTAACAGATTAGAAATGAGATTTCGCAGTGACGACAAACATTGCAATTTCGTAAAACTTTTTTCCTCTAATTACCATTTTGTTTTTGGAACAATATATCCACACCTAAAAAAAAGAACTAAAAAAAAACAATAAGCAAAACCAATAACAAACATGACAGGTAACACATTCATAAGGTACACGTTAAATATTTGCTTATTTGAAATTTTTATTACAAAGTAGCATAAATTTTTTTATAGTGTCTTTTTAAGGTGCACATCATAAATTTCTCCTAAATTTTGAAACTAACTTTAAACAATCCACTATTTAACTCGGCTCAGTTTTTCCCCAAATCCAAGATTCAAACACAGCTCGGGAAACTAGAGTTCCCTATACAAAGAAGTATAATGTTGTTGTCTTTACGAAACTGGCTGATCGATGTGATTTTGGAGATGCACTCAATACTTGGGTCATTTTGTTTTTTAATGGCAGTTGACTGACGTAGTATTGCTTCGTTAATTGATAAAAAAAAATGCAGTTAGATGTGGACTTTGTTCAAATTGATGTGAGGAATTTACGATGGAGAGGTAAATCTCTTTATCTCCCTTTTAGTTACATAAACTTTCACAATGAGAATTCCCCTAGGCTCCCTATCTTTCTTCTTTTTCCAAGCCTCCAGCCAAATAAGGCACTCTGTTTTTAGTTTTTTTTACTAGTTGGCTTATCGCACATTTACAGAAAAAATACAGTAGATGGGCAAAAGCAAAACTCTCTCTCTCTAACATGCACACACAATAGAAGTTCAGTATGCTTCTGTCATTAGTAATTATGTGTTTGTGTGTGTAGTGCATTCCTTAACTCAAATAGTATATAGAATACCAAAATTGAGCATCAAAGAATGTTAGAATTTACCATTCACACAGGGAACTACTGGACTTGGACTAACTTGGAGGGAAGTGTTTGTTTTCTTGAAGACATTACAAACTGTTCTATAAGAGATGTGTTGATAGCTAGTTTATCTTTTGGATATTTCCCTTAGAACTATTGCTGTATAGCATTTGGGACTGTTGGTATTGAGTTGCAATTCGTGTAACATGATATATTTGCTTAATATATTTCTTTGGGAGATGCTAAGCTTACTATAGTATTCGTTCATTTACCAAAGTAGTGATCTTGATTTCTTGTGTAGGTCCAATTGTTGATACTGTTGTTATGAATCCTCCGTTTGGAACTCAGAAAAAGGGGGCTGATATGGACTTTCTCTTTGAGACTTTGAAGGTAAAGAGGCTAGGACTACTTTTTGACGCATTGAATGCACGTGTCCGTTCTTACTTTTTGGCGCATTGAATCATAATAAATCGTAGCGAATCATAATTAGTGGCAAATTGAATCACATGATTCACTTAATTCACTTAATTTTTTATTCAGGGGCATGATTTGAATGTGTTTCATTCCAAAGGAATTATATTTGTTAGGAGACTGATAAATGTGTTTCTGTTTGTTGCTTGAAATAGATGTAGACATGAAAGTTTATCCCAGAATTTAAGTTATAATTTATGTTTTCTACTGAAAGGTTGGAGGGATCATGTACTTATTTGGTCATAGGGATAAGATTGTTGCATTCTTCCATTTTGATTTTTCTGCAGAATTTAAAAAATGTAGGAACCTTTGGCAAAACAACTAAAGGTTTTGAAAACCTAGCTCCAGGTAAATTCTTGTTTTGCATGGATTTACAAGGATTTACCATACCTATGTGATGTGATATTTCTAACTTTGATAATTTGCCATTATTTCTTGAAGAATCAATTGTATTTTTTCTACTGAAGCTGGTGGTCTATTATAGTTTGGCCTTGAGGAAATAAATAGATTAACAATAGGCATTGACTTAAGGTGTATAAATATTTTTTCTTTAAAAAAAAATTAATATTCTGATGTATTAATCTTGGTTATCATAATGGACTACCATATGAATATTTGAGGGGAAAGATATTAGATGTATTTCCTGATTACAAAAAAGAAGCAGAAGACCACCTCTCAAAAGCTGTAAGTCAGAAAAAAAAGTTTCAATCCTGGTTGTTTCATGTGTTGTACTGCTTAGGTTGAGGTTATGTTTTGAAATTGGCTGATGTTATTCCACGTGAAGTTGAATCCATCTCTGGCAGATGCTTGGCTCTGCTTAGGTAACTGCATTTGGAAAAAGGGAGATCTACCTTCAGCAAAAAACTGCTTTACACTTGCACTAAGCGAGGTTACGTTTTTGAGTTCTGATATATTTCCATTGTTTCTCCAATTTCAGCAGTGATGTGTGCTCTTATTTCGTCTATGTATATTCAACTACCAATAAGTTTATATCTGATGCAGGGTCTAAACAAAAAGATACTTTGTCAGTTATCTATGCTAGAAAAAAGAATGGCTCAATGCAAGGATCTTAATTCAGTGTTAGTTTTCTGTTTTCTCTTGGTTCCTCTTGAATATAATCTTCCATATTTATTAAAACACAAGAAGTTATTATTCTGTTTTCTCCTATGGTTACATTATACTTAGGTTCTTGGTTCATTGGGAGATAATTTATGGAGTGCTCTCTATTTTAGATCTGGAATGTTTGGGCCATTTATTTACAGCGAGCTTATTTAGGAGATTAATGAATCTATTTTAGTTAATAATAATGCTGTAACGGACATTGCTTGTACCTGTCATCGCATTCTTGTTCCGAAAACCTTTACTGGTTTTTCTTTTGTGTCTCAAAAGGAAGAAAGAAAGAGAAAACATTCACTACTTTATCTATTTTTTGATTTTGAGCTTCTTGAGTTCTGAATCCTTCTGTTTGTTTTTTTGCTACTAGTTTTATTGACGTCTTTTAATCTAGTACCTCTGTTGTGGTGTTGGTGGAAGCAACAGGCCTAGAGATTGATTTGCTGAGATTGATTTGTGTTCTTAACTGAGTTTTTTGCCCTTGTATTGCCAGCTATATTTGCTGAAGACAATTTGGTAATCATCAAATTTAACTGGTCTAGAAACTTTGGGAGTTCAAAGAATAACTTCCTCGCTTGCAAAAAAAAAAAAAAAAAAAAAAAAATAGAATGTACTAACTAATAAAAAAGAAGAAGATTATTTATGATTTTTATATTAGGTGAGTATTCTTTTAAAAATGTAAATAGGGCATATTTTCTAGTCAGTCAAAGAAAGGTAAAATATATAAGAGAAAATTCAAATTGATTTATCATTTCAAATCAGAAAGTAGCCTCATTCTCATGCTATTTGTGGTCTCTAATTTTCAATTTTTGGTTTGCTAAGGCTTGAATAAACTGTAAATATAAAAATAATTTGGAGATCTGATCACAACAAATGGAAGCATTACAGAGCTCACTCTCTCTTCGAGTCAAAGGCTTTGCATCAATCATAATATAAATGCATTCATCTGCTTTCCTAATTCTTTGTTATCTTTGTAGGTGCTAATAATCAGGCAGAGATTGTCGAGGAAAGCAACAAACATGCATAGGAAGCTAGTTGGATGTGAAAGATGGGAATTCTTGGTGTAAGGCTTTGTATCAGATTTAAGCTAAAAGAGTAATTTGAATTTCTTTGGCTACTTTGGATTGGGGATGTGTGGATTGCAATTGGGTGAGTTTGAATGATTTCTGGTAAGGGGTTTTGGTAAAGGGTTTGATGACATTAGTGGCTCAAAGCTAGGAAGAAAGAGTGTGCAACTTCAAGACTAGCTGTGTTACATGGGATTTTTCAAAAATTTTGAACTTGTAGGTTTTGTCAGAAATTAGTGTGTTGCATATTTTTCCTCTGTTAGAATAAGAAACTTTATACTTATTGTGGAGTGCTATAACAAAATTATGAAAGGTTTAGATAGTGGCCACTGTGGTTGATTATGAATTGTGTAATCTATGTTTTCCTTGCAAGTAGGAGTAATCGTGGGTGAGCACAGTTTTTTTTATGTAATCTAGAGATAATTTGTTATGGCACGCTTCATGAAACTTTACCCTCTTGGTTCAGATTATGGGTTAATGCAAATCTTATTTAATCTAGAGAATTACCATGTACTTCATGGTAATAAGAAATGACTATCATGTAAATGCCAAGGCTTTTAGAACTATGGAATATATATTATTTTGTTTTTACATTGTAGCAAAATGGGCATTTGTTTACTCTTTTGTGGCAAAGAATTTGAAATTGTGGGTTTCTACAAGAAGAGAAAAGAAAAGGAATTTAGGGCTTCTTAGGTTAAGCTCTACCTTATGCTGTATTTGTTGCTTTAGTTCATTGGAGTTAATTTTTTATTTTCATTGTGTCTTATTTACCTACATTCCTCTGTTTTTTTTAGCAATCTAGTTTTTGTCATCAACCCCATATGGTGGCTGCTATAGCAATTACCAACTATCATGGAGGCAGGTAAAATATTTTTATTTGATTTTGATTATCTTCTCTATTGTAGCTGTTGGTTAGTATTTTTGGACTAAAAGATGTTTGTTTTTAAATTATAAGACTTGCTAATAGTTCTTTGTAAGCCTAATGCCCTTAATTGATGTTGTTGTTATTAAATGGTTTCATCTAGTTTATTTAGTTGATTACGTGCATAATTAAGTTTGTTCTTTTAAAAAAGTTTATTGTGTATTGAAAAATGGATTTATTTGCTTTATTTTTGTGACAACACTCCCCACTGATTAGTGCTAATCTATGATTAAGCATGTTAATGACTGATTGACTGGAATCCTGAACTGATTGATCAAATGTATAGCTTAAGTGCATGTCTATCTGTTTGACTGCTAAATGATCTGTTCATGTTTTATGTTTTAAACTGCAAATTGAAGGCCTTATCGGCGGCCGAATCCGAAATTGATTAATGTTTTATTCTAATTGAAATTTATGTGATTTGGTGGTATATTTGATTGAAATATGATTTGGTATGATTAAATTGGATTAATTAGAGTTGTATCACATTAGTTTGCCTTTATTTCCATTTTGCCACTCAGTGGGTTGTGCTAGACCACTCCTTCTCTCACCCTTTGTATTGTCTTAGCACCTTTTCCTCATTCATTCTTGAGGCCAAACCGATTGGGAGAGGGAGAGTAGGAGAACAAGTTGATTTCTACAAGTCTTGCTTGAATCTAAAGGAATTGAAGAGCATTTACATATATGAGCTTCTACATCTTGAATTCAAGACCTAAGATAGAAAATTTACCTTCTTGTTTGTGAATTTAAGTTAATTCTTGCATGGCTCATGGTAATTTAGTCATCTAAGTCTAGAATTGGTTTACAATGTTGAATTAAGAGCTAGATCATGCATGCATGCTCTTATATTGAGGTTTTGAAGTTGTTTTCATGGAATTTGTTACATGCATGTCCATATCTTGATCTGAGACCATGAAATCATCTTGTTTTTTAGGGAATTGGCTCATTGGAGCATGTATTAGGAGCTTTGAACTCATTAGAATAAATGCATGTTATGTTTGATCATGTTCTTGAAGTTTATTTGAAAATTCTGTTTAATTGAACTACCTTTGGGCTTTGATTTCTCAAATTGAGCTTTGAATCATGTTATACTATGAATTTACAAGTGTTTTCCAGAAAATTGGCCCAAAAGGATCGAATTTGATACATTAAAGTTGAGTTTTGAGCTTGAGGTTCAAATCTAGAAATTTTAGATTTTGGACTCACGCTCGAGCGAGGAACTCCACGCTTGAGCGTACGCCTTGTGTTCATGCAGTCTGCTCGAGCAAGGAAAGTGGCGCTCGAGCGTGAAATGCGTGTATCCAGTACTTTGCATGTGTTTACAGTCCGCTCGAGCGAGGACTTGTGTCTCACGCTCGGGCGTGGATCGAGCGCCCGTCGAGCGTAATTTTTGTGCATCCAGTATTTTTACTGTTGGTTGCAGTCCGCTTGAGCGACGGAAGTCACGCTCGAACGGAGCTCCTTTGTCTGCATGTCCGTTTGAGCGTAGAAAGCCACGCTCGAGCGAGACCCCTGTTTTATGAAAATTCTAAAAAGTGTTTTAAAGTACATCTTTGCATCCTCATTCCATTCTAGGCACTCCTAGGCCTAGTTTAAGCATCTTAGTGAGGATATTGATGTAGAACCACACCGAGGCAAATTAGGGATTAAGTTATTATTTTTCCAACTGTGTAGCTTAGTGTGTGTTCATTTTGTAACTGTAAGGTTGGCATCCGAGGACGCTCTAGCTGCTTATAGTGCAGTGCTCTCTGAGTAACAATGTTGTAAAGTTATGTTCAATTGAGATTATTTCTTGAATAAATGACTGTACTGCTTTATGAAATGACACTGTTTACTGAATGAATGTTTGTCTTATTTGTGAACTATATTCATGGCATCCATAGCAATTTACTGTTACTCTACTGTTACAGAGATCTCTGTCGGTTCCCATGTTTGGGACCACTAGTGTTTACTGATATGATGGCCATCATTGACTGCTCGGTCTGTTAAGACCTACTGTACTGTTTTGCTATTGGATGTACCACATATGACTATTATAATTTCTGAATGACTGTTATGGCATGAAATATGAGCCACAAACTGAATGACTGATATACTGATAAATGACTGTTTCCAATGCTGAAAGGACATTCATTCTAAACCTCTTTACGCATATGTTATTCACTGGGCTTTAGCTCACTGTTTATATATATATATATATATGTAGGTGTCCAGGCACCGGATCGGAGCTAGGGGCGTGGGGTTCAAACTCCCTTTTTGTCAAGCCAACAAACGTGCCTCACTGCGAGGTTCCAAGTCCTTCAAGCTAGGGCTTTTTGGGGTGTTAGTTTTTTCCCTTTTTGTATCTGGTTTTGTAACACTGTATAGACTGAATGATATATGTATCTGTACTGTACTGTTATGGTAGGGATTGGGTCCCTAACCTGAATATCTGTGTATGATATATGTATATACTATTTTGTTCTGGAGGTGAATATGTTTTAAAATGTCTTTTTGCATACAGACTGTCACAGCTCATTGGACATCTTTTAATTACTGTTTTGGCTTTCGCCAGCCCCTGTACTCTGTATTATTGTTTTACTGTTAAGCAGGCCTTCGGTAATCTCGGATTACTGGCCGGTTACGGTGCTAAACCCATAGGAGCGGGTTTGGGTCGTGACAGAGTGGTATCAGAGCGACACTAAACCACGAGTTATACCGCACACACGTGTCCAATTGAGCTATAGGATGTCCTAGAAAAGTAATTAGGGCATTGCATGAGCATGAAAAGTGTTTGTGGCCATGACATGAATATACGTGCTAATGTGTTAATGTGTTTAAGTATGCAACTACCTATGTTTATTATTGTCATAATTGCCTATAGTGAAATGGATAACGCAAGAGCTACTGATGAAACTGAATCATCTGAAGCCAGAATGACAAGGCTCGAAAGAACAGTGAAAATGTTGACTGAGGCCTTAAAACTACAACAACAGAACCAACAGCCCCCACCTCCTCCGGTACAGCCGGAACAGAATGTGAATGATGACATCATTGCTCTAACACAGAAGTTTAGCAAGATGAAATCGCCATCCTTTCAGGGAGGCCTTGAACCATTGAAGGCCGAAGTGTGGGTGCTAGAAACTGAAAACTTATTTGAAGTGTTTCCATGTTCTGAAGCACACAAAGTGCTATTGGCTACCTTTACTCTACAAGAGGAAGCTAGACGGTGGTGGATGCTAGTCCGCGACACCAATATTGCCATGAATTGGGCTCAATTTAAAGGAGTCTTCTCCGAGAAATACTTCTTATAGTGTGTCAGAGACCGCAACGTAACCGAGTTTGAACAGTTGAGACAAGGTACCATGTCCGTGGCTGAGTATGAGTCAAAGTTTACTGAACTCGCCAGATATGCACCGCACATGGTTGATACTGATTACAAAAAGGCCAAGAAGTTTGAAGGCGACCTTAATATAGAAATTCTTGACAGAATTAATGTTTTGAAATTGCTGAAATATGTAGATGTTCTTGATCGAGCAATAATGGCTGAGTCGAACATCGAAGCATTGAAACAGATTGAAACACCAGTGTCTGAATGGCGTGGTAAGAGACGAGGTTTTAAATTTAAGAAAGGCCAGAACAATTCATCGAACCAAAAGTAGAATACAGGGTCAACAACCAGTTCCAGTCAAGGAAGCCGTTCTATACCGCCCTGCTTCGAATGTGGTAAGAATCATAAGGGGGTTTGTTATAAAATCTCAGGTGCTTGTTACAGGTGTGGCAAGGTGGGCCACATGGTCAAAGATTGCCCTTCCACTCCTCAGGGCAATAGTTAAGCTACACCAAGCGCCGCAACATCAACTGCTCCACCGAAACCCAACCCCAAAGCTACTGAAAAAGAGCCTATGAGGCAAGGCCGAGTGTTCGCACTCGTACCGAGAGATGTACAAAATACCGAGACCGTTGTGTTAGGTATACTCTCAATTTGTGCTCAAAATGCATATGTTTTGATTGATTCGGGGTCTACACATTCATATGTATCGCATGCTTTTTCGCAAAAATTGAATAGACCATTGGAACCCATGAACTATCTGTTAGTTGTATCCTCACTTGTTGGGGGATCCATGACTTGTGCTTATATGTACCCTGCATGCGAAATTATTATTGGGGATGCTCATCTGTATATTGATTTATTGCCATTGAATATAGATCATTTTGATGTGATATTAGGAATAGACTGGTTAACGAAATATCATGCTACCATAGACTGTGTAACAAAACAAGTTATTTTTCGTCCACCCGGACTGCCTGAATTTGTGTTTAACGGAGTTGGAGTAGTATCTCCCCCATACCTGATTTCATCCATGAAAGCTTTTAAATTGATTAGAAAATGGTGTAAAGGGTATCTATGTTCTGTGTTGACTGTACCTACTGATGATAAAACTAATGTGAACAGTATTCCTATAGTTAGAGAATTCCCAGATGTTTTCCCAGATGATCTGTCAGGGGATTTGATTGCTAGGGAGATTGAGTTCACCATTGATGTGATTCCGGTTTTAAATTGATTAGAAAATGGTGTAAAGGGTATCTATGTTCTGTGTTGACTGTACCTACTGATGATAAAACTAATGTGAACAGTATTCCTATAGTTAGAGAATTCCCAGATGTTTTCCCAGATGATCTGTCAGGGGATTTGATTGATAGGGAGATTGAGTTCACCATTGATGTGATTCCAGGTACACAGCCTGTATCTAAAGCTCCGTACAGAATGGCACCTACCGAATTGAAAGAGTTAAAAATTCAGCTACAAGAACTGCTAGATAAAAAGTTCATCAGGCCCAATACTTCACTGTGGGGTGCGCCAGTCTTATTTGTGAAAAAGAAAGACGGCTCATTGAGATTCTGTATTGACTACTGTGAACTGAACAAGGTAACAGTGAAAAATAAATATCCATTACCTCACATTGATGATTTGTTTGACCAGTTACAGGGTGCCCAAGTGTTCTCTAAAATTGATCTTAGATCTGGATATCACGAGTTGAAAGTCAAGACAGGGGACATTGAAAAGACTGCATTTCGAACGAGCTACCGACATTTCGAATTTCTTGTTATGCCTTTCGGAGTTACCAATGCACCTGCTGCATTTATGGACTTTATGAACCGAGTTTTTAAACCATTCCTTGATGACTTTATTGTTGTATTCATAGATGACATTTTATTTTATTCCAAAAGCACAGAGGAATATGAACATCATTTGAGAATTGCCCTACAGACCCTTAGAGAACAGAAACCGTACGCTAAACTGACTAAATGTGAATTTTGGCTTGACAATGTTATGTTTTTGGGGCATGTGATCAGTAAGGATGGAATTTTAGTTGATCCGCAAAAAATTGAAGCAGTAGTGAACTGGCCTAGACCGACAAATGTTACCGACGTCCGAAGTTTTCTAGGCTTAGCCGGGTATTACAGAAGGTTTGTCAAAGATTTCTCCAAAATTGCCCTACCACTAACACAGCTGACTCAGAAGGGGATATCATTTGACTGGACCGATCAGAGGGAATCAGCTTTTCAAGAGTTGAAAACTCGACTAGTGACTGCACCGATTCTCACCTTACCCTCAGGTACGGATGGTTATACTGTATATAGTGATGCTTCTTATAAGGGTTTGGGATGTGTTTTAATGCAGAATGGTAAAGTTATTGCATATGCTTCCCGACAGCTGAGACCGCATGAAAAGAACTACCCGACCCATGATCTGGAACTTGCTGCAGTAGTATTTGCACTGAAAATCTGGCGTCACTATCTGTAGAACTTGCTGCAGTAGTGTTTGTACTGAAAATTTGGCGTCACTACCTTTATGGGGCAACATGTGAGGTGTATACAGACCACAAGAGTTTGAAATACTTCTTCACACAGAAAGAATTGAACATGAGGTAGCGGAGATGGTTAGAACTGATAAAAGATTATGACCTGCAAATTTTGTACCATCCAGGAAAAGCTAACACCGTTACTGATGCACTGAGTCGGAAGTCAATTGGAAATTTGGCCTGTTTACTCACCGGGCAGAAAGAATTGCTATGTGACCTTGAAAGACTTGAAATTGAGATTGTTTT